AGCTGCCTGTTTATTTTTATAAGCAATAAACCTCTTACCCAAATTGGATTAGAAGTGTAGGAAGTAAAGTATTGTGCCTGTATGTGCTAAATCATGCATTGCCTGTGAGATTAGAAAGGAAAGAAAAAGATCTGATCAGCTGGCATGGGATTTTTTTTCACTGAGCAGTAACAAACTGTGAACAGGCGGGGGGTCCGACACCAGAAGGTACTGGAACTGTACTGTTTGAATTCCTGGCTGTAAGAGGTGATGCACATGAGAACTAAAGTGTGCAGAAAGTTTTGTGTTTATGTATAAATGCAAGTTGTATTAGCATAAGAGTTGGTTCACCTTAGCTTTTAAGGGGCAGCTTTTAATGTATCAGGACATATTTCATTATTCCTCTATTAGAAACCTATTGCATGTGACAAGTAATCAATTCTTGCTCTCTTGGGTTACTGCCTAAAGTAACATTTGTTCTGTACCTGAGCTCATAAAACAGTATTTAAAGTATTCCTAAAAAGATGTCCTTGACAGTCAGAAGTACAGGAAGCAGAGGTGCTGAACCCCCTGTGTTTGTACCGAGCTCTGACCTCTCCTAGCAGGCCACTGTGCAAACCTGACCCTTGGCTTGCAGAGAGGAGGCAGCCCTCTGACTGCTCTCCCGAGGAATACAGGTCATATGCTTTCATGTGCACATGCTGGAGGTGATGTGTTTAGAAAGGACCAAGTTTTTTACCTTGTGTAAAGACTGTCTAAAGTTTGAAGTGTGGGGGAAGAATATAGTAAGATGGCTATGCTTAATAGCAGTGATTTGCAAAATATTCAGGTATGAACTACAGACTTGGAACATTGTTGTGCAGAAGTGAGGGGAGCTGTTTTGAAGTTGTCCAGCCCTTTTTTTACCAGAATCACACAGGGACTGCAGTCAAAATGGGGAGTGTCAAGAGTTTAGTAAGTGTGGTTAGGAATTTAGGATAAATCAGAGGGCTGTTGGATAGATTTGACTTTTTGCTTCATGATCTCTTTGAGGGTAAATATGTTTGTCTTCTTGTAAGAGATCCATTTATGTGATGCAGACATCGATTAGAAACTGTACTGAATAGTTTTTAAACTTTGTCTCTTTTAAGATAATTTTGTGAGTGTGGGGATACAGCTAGTTATAGCTGAATTTCTGTAACTGAATACTTTTCCTGGTTTTTTTGCTAATCTGAATGAATAATCTAACATGACATGTTTTTCATCACTGAGATAAAGGTGCTTTTCAGAACTGATGGTGTTACTACTTCTAGCAACTGTCTTAGAATTCTCTGTACAAGTCCATGCTCAAATGATCTGGCTTTGTGGGAATGAAAAATTTCAGGTAATGCAGGTTCAGCTAGTTCTGCTATAACCTTAAAGGCTTTGCAAGTATAAAAATTGTGTCTTGGAAATTAATTCAAATTGGGACTCCCTTTTTTTATTTAGAGGAAACCATAATACCTGAAGCTCAGTGAATCTGTGTTCTGATGCTGAAAGTTTGCTGAACAACATCTAAAAAATTCTTTAAGAAAGTGATTGTGCATAGCCAAGATTAATTGAACCAGAAATGATCCTAGAGAACTTAAAGAGAAATCTCTTACAATAGCTTTTTCCAGGTACCTGGGAAATTAAAGTTTACTGTCTTGGAAAGAAGCCTGGTGCAGCTACATCTCTATGGCTCTGACTTGGCAGATGACTTGCATCAGTTTGACCTTTTGGAAACAAATGTTCTTTCTTCAGAATGAGGCTTTGTCTGTCATTCTTTCAGTCTTGAATTTTTAGGAATTCGGCGCATCTTCAGGTGGTACTTGAAGCCAGGTGAAGAACCATCTGTCCTGGTTTCAGCTGGAATTGAGTTAATTATTGTAGCAGCTGGTACAGTGCTGTGTTGTGTTTAGGGTGAGAATAGTTTTAATGCACTGATGTTTTGCTGAGCAGTGCTTACTTTGAATCAAGGACTTTACAGGGTTCCGTGTTCTGCCAGCCAGGAGCTGCTCAAGAAGCTGGGAGGGAGCATGGCCAAGACAGGTGACCCAAACTGGCAAAGAGATTTCCATAGTGGACATCATGCCCAGGATTATAAACTTGGGGGAGTTGGCTGGGAGGGGCTGGCTGCTGCTCATGGATGATCTGGCATCAATCAGTGGAGTGGTGAGCAATTGTGCATCACTTTCTTGGGTTTCCTTTATTTCTCCTTTTATGGTGTCTCCCTTTTCCTTACTATGTTTTGTTTTAATTTATTTCAGTTACTTAATTGTTGTTATTGCAACCTGAGTGTTTTACCTTTTTCCCCCTGACTCTCCTGCGTTTCTCACAAGCCAGGGGAGGTGTGAGCAAGCTGCAGGGTACTTGGTGACTGGCTGGGGTTGGTTAAACCACAGTATTGTTTTAAGAGCAGCTTAATTCCCAGACGTCTTACTTGGGCAACAGTTGCTGTGTTGAATTGCTCATTGGGACCCATTTCTCTTGCGGAGTACTTTCCTGGTGTAGTTGAGGAACAGGCTCACAAAAATGTAAGGGTGGAACAGGACTTCATAAGAAATACTCATTAGGTTTGTCTGATGGCAAAGTGTGACTCCTGTGATGTGAAATGCCTCTGTGCAGTGTGGTGACTTGTTGCCACGCTGTAACTAGGCTACTTCGGTCACAAATTGCTCCACAGTTGCTTAAGGATCACCGTGGCTGGATGAGCAACATTTTACAGTTGACAAATCTGTTTGAAGGAGAATTTGTTGTGCCTTAAGAATTCAAGATTCTATTTAGATCTTTTACCCAGCTGTCCTGCAATTCTAATTAACCTCTCCTACCCCTTCTAGACGTTGTCAGTGTAAAAGAGTTCATAAAGTACCATCTACCCTTCATGTCACAGAAACTTGAGATGCAGAAAAGGGTTCTTATCTGGAAGCTGTAGCTATAACAATGAACCTTTGTTTTCTTGGCCCTTGTAAGAACTTTCTTACTTCTTGCCATAAGCCACCACATAGTAGTGCAGGGGATTAGGTCACTTCCTTCCCTTCTCCTCTTCCTGCAGATTATTTGATTAGCATTTCTATTGTATACTCTAAATAGCATGTTCTTGGCTTCAGGCTGGTCCCCCCCTCTATAATCTCTTTAAAACACTGTAGTATGACTTTTTATTAGCAGCGTGACATGGGAACTCCTTGCACAGAGATTACATGTGACGTAACACAATAAAAGATTAATGAGGCTGGTAAGTCAGTAATCTCTTCCCTGCTTTCTTCCCTCATGCACCTGAGATTAGGCTTCTGGGAACCCCCTAATAGTGCTAATGCCTTAGAATACGTGAAATATTTTTCTTATTTGGATATCATTGGCTTTGATCAGAGTTCAGCCCCTGACTTCATGGGATACTGAGTTCAGGTTGTGTATAGTGTATGTTCAACATTCAGCATTGAGTGTACAAATATACCTCCCCCATGGGATCATTACATGTCCTGGTCTTCCACCAGGTGTTTTGCTCCCTTTTCTCAGTGCTTCCTTTCCTTCAGTCTGTTTTTATATAGCCTGTGTGCAGTAATTTCAAGCTCTTATGCTGTGTGGGGTTTTTAGTTCACTCCTTGCCTATTTTATTGAATAAAATTATCAAGAGGTTGTTCAGAATGTCAGTCTGGAAACATAGTAGTAATATACTGATAAGGTTAACTCCAGCAGGAAGAGTTTGCCATTCAGGCTTCTTGCCAGTCTGGACACCAGTGTTGCCTGCTGCCCCTATGTGTAAGGCTGTCTTTTTAGCTGGAACAGCTAGAAATGCATTCCTCATCAGAGCTCATGTTGAATGTCATGTGAAATCACGTAATTGTATCAAACTGTACAGCAACTGTTTGTGAGTCAGATAGAAGAACATGACGATAGAGCCCTTTATTTCTTTAACAACTTCAAAGAAAGAACCTCCCCTGCAGTTCAGCATCACTTCATGAAATTAGCAGTGATATCTTGGGCTACAGATTGCATTGTTTTAGTCTGGCATGGTATCTGTACTCCAGGAGAAATCAGATAGCTTGCCTAGCGACAGCATGCTCTAGGCATTTCATTTCAGTCCTCAAGGCATGGTGTAGTTCTTGTGATTCTGTGAAAATCATTAAACCCTCCTCATTATAAAAGTGAGGGGCAGTGCTGACACAAGAACAGCTGAGTAGAGCATGGCTGTGAGTAAACACAGTCAGTGAGACAAAGTGGTTCAAGCTCTGTTGGGTGAGATTCAGAGGCAGCCGCATAGAAGTGTGCCTAGGGGCAAAATAAACCCTCAAAAAACCTGGATTAAGATGGGGCAGGAGTAGCTATAAAAAGGCCATTGTGTGGTGTTGCCTGATTGCTCCAGAGGGTCTCTAATATGAAGACAAGTAAGGATTGTTATCTGCAGGATCTTGTTGGGGTGGTAGAAAGCAAATCCACCTGCAGCTGCTTCTTAGGTAACTGCAGCATAAAGTAATCTACAGATTTATTAACCTGAACACTGAACAGCTGCATATGTAAAAGAATGTCTGGGAATAAAGGAGTTCTAGAAGCAAATTAGTCTTCAAATACGGCTTTTCAGGATGTTTTGAAACAGTACAACTCCAGTTTTACAACGTGTGTGAGAAAAGTAATGCAGCCTAGAAGTGGTCATACAAATGTAACTAATCACTATGGTTAAATACCTGAATACAGAACACCTTTTGTACTCTTGGTGCCATATCTGTGTGTTAAGTGATACTAATGCAGTCCTGATGTGGTTTTCTTTTTTTTTTTTTTTTTTTTTTTTTTTTTTAAAGCAAAATCGCAAAAGCAACTCTTTGCCTCGATTGAAACAGCATTCAAGCTGCCAACTTTTTATAGGCTGGGACAAAACTTGAAAGTGATGAGGGAGGTGGGGTGGTGTGACTCCTCCACCCTAGTAAAAATTGCCATTTTAAGGATCTGTGCAGTACCAGTGAATAAGCTGTGTTTGTGTGCCAGTGATATGAGGCTGTTGATTTTTGGCAGGGAGGAGGATTCCCTTAGAACCTAAATCTCAGGATCAGGCTTGATGTGTTTCTCTTGAGATGGATGCAGAAGGTCCCTATCCCCTCATTTGCACTGGTGTAATGGGGTTACAGAATAAAAACACAAAGAGGTAAGCAAAATTATTTGGGTTGAAATAGTTGGAGAAATGTGTGTGGTTTTGGTTTTCCCTTAGCCCCTTGCCAGTTTAGTAATCTGATAGCTGTGATAATGACCATACCATTTCAGAGCAGTGTTCAGTCCTGTGGTTTTTTTGACAACCAGAAGTGTGGAAACAAGGGAGCACCTGTACATCAGTGTTTCTCCAGGCACTTTCCAGTGTTCAGCAGCAGTGGCTCAACCACTTCTGTGGAGCAAGGTGGTATCTTTGTGCTTAGTAACCTATGATAGGAGGGGAAAAAAGTATCTTTGAGCCTATGTATAGTTTTATTATCCAGAATAACCTATGGCAAGGTGTTCTGCAGCTAAATTTTCTGGGTAGGTGACAAGATCCTGTAACAGGACAGCTGTACTGTATTACTTAGGGGAAAGTTTGCTGTAGAGTCAGGTTGAGAAGAGAGAAAACACAGATGCATTCACCTTGTTCTCAGCAGTAAAGCTGACTTGTGTGGAACTGCAGCTTATGTTGTGTTATGGCATCATGAACAGAAAAGCTGTTTTGACAGTTCTTAGGTTTGAGTGTTACCCAGTGGCTGTCCTGTAAGGTGACCTGGGGAAGAGTTCTGTTAAAAGAATAACAGAGCAGATAAACCAACTTTAAAACATTGACAGATCAGTCCATAAAATTGTGTTTAAAAGATTGAGGTTGTGAGCCTGGGAAGGAGCAGCAGAAACAGGAGCAGCAACAGTCACGTGTACAACATGGAGATGTGAAATGTCAGGCTCTATCTACATTGCTTGAGCCAGGGTAACCATCTACCCCTTCCTCACCCACTACAGCTGTGATGTAAAACTTGATGTAAAGGTTAAGCTGCTGTGTCATACCGTGATTGCAGCAGCCTCACAGCATTTGCATGATCAATTCCACGAGGTAACTTGGAAGCTGTGGTAACTTGATCACCACTTTATGGCTCAGACATTTAAATTATCCCACCCACTGGCTTGATGCAGTGATTTTGGTGTTGGTGGAATGAGAAATGAGCTCATAACCTGGTCTGGCACATGCAGATTTGCCTTTCTAAATGTGCATCCTACAGGATTGAGCTGTTTTAGAATCATTGGCCATGACAGTCCAGTACACGCAGGTGGCATCTGCAGATGTGTCATGTGTCCAGTCCTACAGTATTAGTGAAAAGAGAGATAGAAATGCCTGAAGAGTTTCTGCTGGTATAATTCTCAGTGTATTAAGAAATTACTCTTTGTGTGGGAGGTGAGGAAAGCTAGCTGGGCTAATAAATTATGATTAAAAAAAAAAAAAGAAAAGGTATAGCATGCATGGGTACAGTTATGTAAGAGAAGGAAATAAATCAGTGTTTCTCTGAGAACCTCATCCGCAGAGCTGCCAGGCAATTGGGCTGCAGTATTGTTCTCAACACACCCTCAGCTTCCTTTTTTCCTTTTTGGGGCCAGGGATGGATGAATTGATGGAGCAGGAGCAGGATGCTGGTTCTGCCTCCAGCCAATGCTGTGTGGTGCTGCTGCGGTGTTTACCCAGCTTACGCAAGGCAGAGCCGGCCCCTCTTGAGGCAGGAGGCGCTTCCCACGGCTGAAGTAAAAGCACACAGAGCAGTCACTCAGTCTGGCAGTTGCTGGGGCTTTAAAGGAGTTGGTGGATTTCGGCTGATTTTTAACAAGATCGGAGGATTGGGTTTTTTCTTCTCCACTGTGTAGGAATACTGAGAGGACACAAATATCCTGGTAAGTGCTCTGCATGCCGTCACTTTTCCCGTTTACTGTGGTATTGTTTCGGTCTTTCTTCTAAAAGTATCCTCAGTGGCACTGGTTTTCAGTGATGCAGTGAAAAGGAAATCTGAGAGTAGGCAGTGTGTCTGCAGGCTCCCCTTCCACCTCAAAGAGGCAGAGACATTCAAAGTGCACAGCATAGTAAGTGCTGTTTGATCATAAGAAGTGTCAGTCACTTCTCATTTTTAGGGTGCGTTAAAACTGCCATTACCTAACAAAATCGTACCAAGGACAATTTCTCATGGAGCTGTTGAATATTTGTTGTCTAAACTGAGAAAAAGTCTTTAAAGGTAACTGTAACACCTGTTTTTGTAAGCTGATATAGATGCTATGTGACAAGGCTGTAGTGTAATACAAACAGCTATTTAGCAGATACTTTGGTACATGAACTGCCTTATCAGGAAGTCAGAGGCTCATAAAAAGAAGAACTGTAATGTTTGGGCATGTAGAACAAGAACTCATTGTGGTTTTTTGCAAGCCCAGGCTCCTCAGCCATATATTCCAGTACAGGTGCATCAGACGGTAGATTTTCCTGGACTTGAAAAGCTCTATTGCTTTGTGTAAGAATAAGATGCCTCTGCTTTGGTCTAAACTTTTAGGAAATTTTACTCTTGTGGCTGACTCTAAGTGAAAGTTGGGACTGCCTTTTTTTTTTCCTTACGGTAATACTGTGTAATTAGTCTGAAGCAGTTGAGAAGGATAATGTTAAAGGTTTCTAACAGTAGAGTTCTCTGCAGCAGAACTATACTTCTGTACTAGTATTGTACGAAGTTTTTTCTTTTCTGTTTGTGCTTTTGCAAGGCACTCTGAAGATACCAATAGGTATGCTGTGACTAATGAGCACCTGATATTTTCCCAGCATATCTCCTTGTAGTATTATTTTAGGGCTTTTTCATACGGGTTACAGATTATTTATAAACTTCATTTGATAATCTGAGTGAAATTAAAATAAAATCAAAACTTTTTTTTTTGTGTAGTTTGTACTCACAGGCAAAGTGCAGGTGCAGCCAGAACTTCATGGAGAAAGCTGCAAATTAATTTTCTGAAGCAGCTTGTGTGAGTAACTCTGGCAGGAAGTTCAGCTGATGGAGCAAGGACAAGCTGTGGTGTTTGACCCTCGTGCCGGAGGGTCCGAGCCCCGTGCAAGGCTCTGCGCGTTGTCGCTGCTGTATCCCAAAGGGGCAAGGGGGTTCAGGCTGCGTGTAAATGGAGCGGCTTAACTGGTGAAGAACTTTCTCAGCTAATTAAGGATACAGATAATGTTGCAGTGACAGCTTTAAAATAGACAGCTTGTGCTAAAAGACAAATGTTTTTGGCTTCCCACACGCAGTCTGAATTACATCATTTATAACCCGTAGGAGGTTATCGTGGTTTCCTCAGGGGAGGATCAGCTGTTACTTTTCATAACTGAAAAAAATTCTGCACTATTTCTTTTTCCAAGGGAATATTTTCAGAATTGGTTTTTGTCAGTCTGTTGGAGTAGATCATTATTGATTACATAAATCTTCCAGGTTTAATACACCCAACCACATTCTCATGTCATCAACGGCAGTTCAGAGTAAGGGAACTGAAGTTAGCAGAGTCTGACTGAAATGAGATCCCTGTGCTTAGATGGATTTTTTCAGTCTTCTGAAAAAGAATGCTATTTTTGAGTAGTATCATAAAGTACAGATTTTCATATAGGTGCCTATAATAAAAGTCCTATTCTAAAACACTTCCCTTGTTCGTTGAACAAGGTTGCTTGTCCTCAAGGCGCTGTTCCTGTCTATCCTGAAATTGCTGAGAGCTTCTCAGACCTGCTTCTGAGGCTGGAACAGAACTTGAAGCAGAATGCTAGATACCAATTCAACCAAAACTGCTGTTTCTTAGACTGGACAAAATTAGCTGTGGCCTTAGAGCAAAACAGTAGATTTTCTCTTGTCTATCAAGTTAATGCCTCTTTCAGAGTGTCCACAGACAATGGGCTTTTGTGTATATGTGCTCTGACTTGCATGCCTTATTTCCAGGATGACCAGCTCACTAATGGCAGGTGTCCATGGTAAAAAGATGCTTTCATTCTGTTTGTGACAATGAAAAACTCCTCTATTGAGATTTTACAGATGTTCTCAAGGCATAGTAGTAGATAGCTGTTGGTTTATGGTTTATTGGTTTATGCTTTATGTCCTGTGCAGGATCAGCTGCTTGCTCATTTCAGAGCTTGGCCTCGTTGTCTTGTTTTTGATATCTTGTTTTTGTCTTGCTTTCATATCATAAAACACCTGTGTGCCTATAGTGGATGACTAAGCTTATTCTGAGTTACAAAAGAAAAGGTGTACAGTATAGACTAAGGAAATAATAAGCCATACTAAAGCAAAAGGCTGGACTGATACTCCACACTCCCAAGGCTTATTCTTGGGGATTTTACTGCTGAAAAACTCCCTTTTCTAGAAATAAGAAATTTAATTTTCCTTCCTAACAAAGGTAGTGTGTGGCTATTGATCTAAAGTGATAGGCATTTAAATTGCACTAACAGATGCATCACTATGCTTTCCTTTGCATCTGTAGTGAAGGATGCAAGCTGTACACAGAATGTGGCTAATCTCAAAAGTGGAGTCTAAAACCTGCTGATGGTAAAATTGCAGGTGTGTGTGGGAAGGAAACGTGAGCTTGTTTTTAACTGAAAACTGGGAGAAGTGTTAAAACTGGTAGATAAACACATATTCTTTTTACCCAGTGATCACTTCAGTAAAAACTATTTTAATACAAGCTTGCAAAACTATTTATAGGAAAAACAGTTAAAGGAGAATAACTTTCCAGTGGTGAACGTTACTTCACCCGTCACGTAGAAGAAAGTGATTTCTCAACCTTTGTCTCAGCTTTTAGAAACCTAGTGATGCAAGGACCTGATTCCTTGTTGCTTGCACCAGCGCGGATCAGTAACATTATTGATACTGTTTGTGAAGCCTGGCAAGCTGGGCTTGGTGGGAACACATACTCAAACAAGCAGTCAGTCTGCTGGGAATTACTGTGGGGTTTGGGTGGGGTTGTTTTTGGGGTTTTTTTTGTGGGTAGGGTTTTTGGTTTTTTGGGGGTTTGGTGCTTTTTTTGTTGGTGATGGTTTTGGTTGGTGCTGCTTTTTTTTTTTTTTATTTTCCCTTCTCTCTGATTGCTTATTGCCTTCTCCTTCCATGCTTGCGAATATCTTCATCTTGAGAGACTAGTGTTCTGTACAGTTTGTTTGTGTCTCTCAGTGACTTAACTTTAATATTCTGGTTGTTTAAATCTGGAAATCAAGATTTTTTTTTTTCCTTTGAAGTGGTGAGATGTAACCATATAAGAGAATATGCAGTGCTGAAATACTGTATGTGTATTCAGAGGATTTTGGTTTCTGATCTTGCAGTTGCAGGGGACTTGCCTAGTGGAAACTGGAGTGATAAAGAGCTTAAATGTGTAAGTGAATATTGGCAAACTTGGGTCCTACTTGTGTATTCTCAGGTATTGTCACTCTATTCTATGTGAATTGTTTGTTTGCAGTATGGGGTTTTAAATCCAAATAAAGCTGTAGACACTAACGTGTACATCTTGAGGATAAGGACAAAATCTTGTTTCATTGGCAATGGAATTACTTATAATATGTGTCTAGCTGGTCAAAAGTGCACTTCAAGTGCATATTCCAGTTGCTTGATAGAATTGTGTGGACTTCCTAAAATTAATTGTATTCCTGGAATAATTTAGGTTGGAAGATTGTCTGGTTCAGTCCCTGGACTCAAAATGGGACTGGACTGCCTTTGGTCAGCCTGTTCAGAGCCACATGCAGCTGATTTCCAAGGATGGAGATCCCATAGGCTCTGTGGATTGCAGGTTTTTCCCTCCCATAATAGCTAATCAGGACTCTCTGTGTTGTAGCTTGTTTGTTGCCTCTTGTTCTGCCACTGCATCCCTGTCAAAAGGACTAGATTCCATTTTGTCCCCATTCCCTCTGGTTTAGCACAGAATTTCTCAGGGAAAAGCTGTATGTGAGAATTGTAAGGGTAGTCAGTGCAGAACTGCATATAGTAAAAAAAATTAAAACATCAATAGATAAAATGTCTTGTGCTTTATTTCTAAAAGCAAAAAAAAAAAAAAATTCCAAACCTTAAAATATGTAGATATAGAATATAAATATAACAATATAAAAAGGGAGGAGGAAATTCCCAATTTTTTGCCTCTGAATCAGCATATTTTTATTTTAATATATTCATTGACAGAGGACTTCTTTCTATACTGTGTAAGTGCTTTTCTATGCAGTATTTTAGAAAAGGGCTAGTCTGGCACTAGCTACAGTTGCTAGCAGCCTATAATGCTGGCTCTGTGTTTAGAAAATGACGGTAATTTATTACAAAGAGACTTTTATTCTAGTATTTTTAGCTTTCAGCCGAGTGTTTAATGAATCTCTGCCTGGGCTCATTGAATTTATGTTCTCCCCTCCCCCGCCCCATTTTAACCATTAAGATATTGCTATTCTTGCTGCAATTCCAGAAGCCGTACTTGGTCGACAAAATAGCAAACTTAATTCACAAGGTGCTGTGCCTTACTGCAAACAAAATCTGAAGACTTGCTGAAGCAATTAAAGACTAGTTGTGAGTGAGTCTCGTGACCAGGAAGGGCAGCTGAATGGTTGCAGATGCCTGGTTAAGCTAGAGCTGATAGTTCAAAACCAACCAAAATTCATCTGTCTCTGTCCCCCGTGGAAACTGATGTGCTCAAGGAAAGTGAGCTCTTAGCCTCACCTACTCTGAAGTGTTGTTTGGGAGGTCTTCCAGGGGACAGCCTGGATGCAGGGACCAGTGTTTGCATGAGACAGGAGAGACTTCTACTGGAATGGAGTCAGAAATCTGTGACTTGCTTTTCAGCTATAGCAGTCTTTGCCTTCTGTGGCTTTAGTGAGTACTAGAGAGCAGGAAGGCTTGTCAGAAACCAGACTTAACGTTACTCAAATTTTAAATGCTTTTCTCAGTTCAGTTGTTGTCACTTCCCAGTCTTTCAAAACAGTTGCACGTGATAGTATTGAGCATTGAACTTTCTGCTGCCCCCAGAGGAGCTAGTGATGAGAATAAAAATGTTCATGAGTTCTTCCTGTTCCAGTTTCCTATTTCTGATACTGAAGAATTTTAACTGGTACCCATTGTGGTTTGGGGTAACTGCAAACAGTTGTGCTTGCCTTTAGCCATGCAAGTTGCTTTACTCTCAAAATCTTTTCAAAACCATAATACAGGACTGTGAAAAGGTAAGCATTTTCAGGCTTTGGTCTCTTCTCTTTGGCAGAAGCAGAGATCTTGAACATAAAATGTTTGCTGCTGCCAGTTCTATGATTTTTGGAAAAATACTGGATGAGATGGAATCTTGTAATTGACATCTTATCTCATATATATATATATATAATATAAACCTTATCAGTGTTGAGTGTTCTTGGAGGAGTTTAGAAGAATCTGTTGTTCAGAGTTTTCTCCAGTGAAGCCTGTTCCACTGATGTCTGGAAATGCTGCTGCAAGAAGCAGCAAAAATGTAATTTGCCTGTATTTTGTTCAAACAGTTGTTTCTTTAGCTATATACACTGGCCCTTCAGAGCCAATTTTTCTTTTTAATTAAGTACTCTAGAAATAAAAACTGGTCAGATTGTACTACAAGAGAAGGCCCATTATATATATTTTGGTGGATACTTTTCTTCTACTCAACAGTTTTCCTTCAAGTAAGTTCTTCACTCAGCTTTAAATGATTCATAAGCCTGCTCTATTTCAGGAGTGGAGATGTTATCCCATGGCAGATTAGACTCATCTCCAGTGAGACAGCACTTGAGTTTTATTCACAGACATGAAATTTCCCTTGGACTGATCTTCAGGACCTCACTGGAAGGATATAATTGGTCTTTGTTATTTCTGGGAACAAAAATATTTTCCCTTTGGGTACAGTGCACCAGGCCAATCACACTGGATGAGAAGTAGTGTGTATGTTGGACTGATTATTTTTTTAGGAGTACTGAATCTTGTATGTACTTGAGTTGAAGTAATCTGGGGGTGTAGTAGTTGTGAAAGTGGTGTGTGAAGCTCATAAAGGTTCTAAGATGTATTTGAAAAAAAATGAAGTTCCAACATTTCAGCCAGACTTTTGAAAGGGGATGAGCAAGCTGTATTATTAATGATGGCTCTCGATTTCTAACGCTCAAACCTTCTTAAGTTTAATAAGAAGTAGATTTCCATCACATGCAAAGTAAACTTGAGTGGATTTCTTTAAATGTAAAGCAAAAGAAAATGTTTTAAGGAGGAACTGAGCAATAGCTGGGGGACATCTTTCCTTGTACTGAGATTTTCTGTATGACTCCTTGTATTGCTGAAGTCTGTCCCTGGGAACTCCTGACCCCTTTTATCGTTTCTGCACAGTTCTCTGTTCACTTGTGCAGGTAGCACATTAGAGTCTCCTTTAACTGTTCACGGGTTATTTTCATGAGGCTTTGAAGTTGACTCAGACTGAGACATGTATCTTTTTAGTTTTCCATTAAAATTGTTCCCTTGGATGAATAGAAGAAGAGGAGAAGCTGTACCAAACCTGTTCTTGTACTAATGGCTAAAGTTATTTTAAATGTTTGCCATCCCACTTTCTCTAAGTGAAAGGATTAGCTCTTTAACACTGTAATATGGAGTTACACTATTTAAATCTTTGGTTACTGTGGCATGGTGTTTCCTAGTTCTATGCTGTTTCCTTACAGGCACTGCTGTAGTTTCATGGCAGTAAAACTACACTACTACTATTTCTTGTGAGTTGTTAAATGTGAAGGCAGAGGACAACTGCTGGCCAAGATTAAATTAGTTGTTTGTGAAGAAGACTGAATTGCAGGGGAGAGGCTGTTGAGGAGATCAATATTCAAGTAGAAAATAGGTTAATCATATGGGGAGGAGATGAGAAGATGAGCTCTTTCAGAAGACACCTATACAAGCAAGTATAATGCAAGAATATCTTAAAACAAGAAATGCTGAAGTTGATTGTAAAAATTCTTCATAGAAGATATATCTTCATTTTTATATACAGATAAATTGTGAAGATTTATACTAATTTCAAAAGTAGAAACAGTTCAGAAGGGAAATGTGTCTAAAGAACTGAGCACTATTAAATACTAGGATCTTTATTCACTATTAATGTCAGAAAAGCAGCCCTGAGCTGTGTTCACAGGCACGCAGTTTGAGTGTGGTGCTCCAAAGTGGGGTGTGATGCCGGGAGGTAAGGAGGTTACATTAACAACAGTTAATGTTGTGGGGCTCTCTTTATCAAATGCAGCAATCTCCATTTCAATGTGTTGTGACTACTGACATCATTTAAGGTCATGTTTTCCTGTGATCAGTTTGCTTTGAGGTCTTCATTTTAGTATTCCAAAGGCAAAACTTAAAACAGTGAGTAGCCTCACCATCCCAGGGAGTTACTGCTACACTTGGGTCAGCAGTCCAGAAGGGCTTTGAGCAAACTTGTATTCCTTGACTGTCTCCTGTGCCACCGCCACTGTGTGACGGAGGGAGACTGCTGGATCAGTAAAATGCACTTTCAGCACCAGCTGAGTGATGGGTACCCTAAGGCACAGACCAGGACAGCTGCTGAGTGAAAGTGCTCACTGCTTTCCAGGCAGCAGAAAGTGCTGGTGTCGCTGTTCTGGAGATGGGACACAGACACTTCACAGCAGTGTTGTGCAAATCAGGTTTGTTGCAATGCACTCATCTATCAGTGGGTTAGGGTACTGTTGTGATAATATTGTGTGTGCTAGCCACAAAGACAGGCTGCAGTTAACTTGTTTCAAGCACTATGAAATCTACAGTACCCAGACTTGGGGAAAAAAAAAAAAGAGATTTGGAAAATAATGAGAAATTAAAGGAGAAATTAAAGATTTCTATTTACTCTTCTGGTTGTCTTCTGCAGGCATCATAGCAAATGCTTTGAGACAGTGTGATGTCTTCGTCTGTATTAGTGAGAAGCCTTCCCAAATATGTGGAATAGTGTGAAGGAGCAAACTTGAGTTTTTAGAGCACTGTGAGCTGATTGCAGATGGCAATCAATGTATGCATGCTGAATAGGAACTTGCAGATTTGAGAACATGTTGAAGGCCAGGCTTCTCTGTGAAGGAGCAAAGACTGGGAGAGAAGGTCAGTAAAGGGATCTTTGCATCAGCTCCTGAACAAATGGGAGCAGGCTGTCAAGCACTGCCACATCTTTTTCTCTATTCTTATGACATAACATGGGGATAGATAATATCTGTATGATGACATCTTTTCTGCTAATAACCATGGTCTAGTCAAGGTAGAAGAAAGTGGAGATACAGCATGTAGTTATGATCAAAGTTGATGACACGATTCAAAAAGTGCTGTGTGGGTCAAAAAGTGCATTTGCACAGAAGGCAGAATGTTAACCATCAGTACTAAAAAAGATTAGCAGCTCTTTGAGTTGGTATGAAAACTCACCTGGAAGCACCAAGGGAATGTTCCTATTCCTATTAAAGAAAGCCTCAAACAGGCTCTCATCAGCTTTATTCTTTATCAAGCAAGTGCTCTGCTGGGTAGGATTTCTCTAGAGGAAGGTCAGAGATGAGCTGCATAGGTCAAAAGTGTCTGGAAATGCTACTAATGAGAAGCTGTAAAAAATATTATATGAACTGTTCCTCAAAGCAGAAGTCTGAGTAAAAAATGCACTTCAGGACTGTTTTCATTAGGAGTTACATGGAATTCTCTCAGGAAACCTCCTTCAAACAGGTGTTTATATCACTTCTCTCTCTGGCTAAGCATGAGCGATCACACTGCACACCCTAAACTTTTATGGTAGGCTTGATATCAAATTGTCATACAACTTCCTTCCATCTGCAAATCCAGAAACTTCTTAGGAAGCTCTGAATTAGACAATTCACATGAAAACTTTTGCCTGTCTAGCTAATGGGCTAGTCTTGCTTTGTGGGTTTTTTTTCCTTTAAATTTAATGCCTATCTGGCATTATCTATTTCTCAACAGCTGAATGAAATATAATAAATTAAGCAATGTATCATATATTCTAAAAATTAGCATGGAGGAAAACAAGTGTGGATGTTTTAAGGCCATAGTGAAATTTTCTAAATGCATTTTTTTTGTGATCTGGCACTTCTTCAAGGCAATTCAACCTTAATTCATGTGGTTTTATATATGTGTTTTAAAAAATTATTTCAGGCAAAATCAAAACATGGAAAACACAAAATATTGTACCTGCAGTATTAGATTGGTGTGCAAGTTTGTGTAATGGGAGTGGAATATTTTCTCTTACACTTAATTTTGGTTTTATTTTTACAGGAAATAATGAAAAAAGTGTGCCACAACTCTTGATCAGAGACCTGAAGTTTGAGAAGTCATTAGCTAAGCTCATGTTTTCTCCTGATCAAGAAAATCATCCATCAAAAGCACCAGTCAAATATGGTGAATTGATTGTATTGGGGTAAGTGTTTGTGTGTAAGAGTCTGAGGATTTTCTGTGCTGTAATCCTGTGGACATGTTTCAGTACTGTGTTAATCAATTCTTGGATTTAAATGTGATTAATTGAAAATCTGTAGTTAGTAATGCTATACTAATTGAGACTACTTGGTGCTTAGAATGAAAGGGTCTGTATCTCATGAGAAACTAAGTAACACAGGAATGATGGACTTTGTTCTTTTTCTGTGCTTTTTGATAGGTACAATGGGTCTCTCCCAAATGGAGATAGAGGGAGAAGGAAAAGTAGATTTGCTTTATTTAAAAGGCCCAAGGCAAATGGGGTGAAACCCAGCACTGTGCACATTGCCTGTACCCCTCAAGCAGCAAAGGTAAGCTCCATTTCTCCCTTCAATTCTGTCTGATTTTTCCTTGTAAAGGAGAAATCTTCTTTCTCCATATAAAGAGCTGCTAGGAAATTATTTAAACAGCATAAATATCTGGCTGTGAAAATAATGGTTTGTGTTTATCCAAAGTTTTTTAGTACCTGTCAGGGTTAGCAAGAAACAATTTAGCAAAGAAGATTCTGTGCGTAGTCCTTGCCGTAGCCAGAAAAAAAAATTAGTTTTGAAACATGAATGTTCTGGGCACAGGCTAGTCATCCGTTCTAGACTTTGGTTTTGTGCTCACTTTGCTTTAGGACTAACTGTTTCACGTGCACTGACTTGTAAATGATCCTTGCCAAAGCTCCACGTGCACTTGGTGCTCCATCCAGTGGATAGGAGTTCCCCAGGGATCAGGACAGGTGGGTTTTGCAGGGTATGTTCCATAGGGCTTGTAATCAGAGCTCCCATTAAGAAGCAGAAAAGGAAGGGCTTAGGCCCTGAAGTTGAACTATATTTCAACAGTGTATGTCAAAACTAATACATCATAGCTAAGGTATTACCATGCAATATTGTGGCTATTCAAGTGTGTGTGCAATTGTGTTCAGTAACTAATGGAGCATTTCTACTAAAACAGTGGAATTTGAGGATGCTTAGTGGTTGTTTAGGATCTGCCAGTGACAAGATCACAAACACAGTGAAACAAACACAGTAGTGTTAAGTGTTTGACTCCCAGAATACCTTGATACTTAAGGATCTTGACCGTAAATTCAGGGAATGAATGTATGTAAAGTATTCTGAAATCAGAAGCATTTTTCTACTAAAATTCTTGTAGCAGAGATACATTCATAGTAGATCTATGAAAAGAACATTTAATTTTGCAAATTCTCTATGGTCTGGTAAGTGCTGATTAGCAGCGCTTTTAGAAGTGTTGGTTAGTTCCCTAGAAGGTAATTGCAGAATGAACATCTAGACTAACAAACTGTAACCTTCGCTACAACTTCTGCAACCTGTGTTGAGTTTCTCCATTTTACCCTATTTACCACCACTTTTTCATCTATGTATCTTAAATCAGTCATTACTGATTTTAGTATTAACTCAAATCCTGTTTTTAGAATGAAGTTCCTAGGTTTTTGTCCTCACTTCGCTGTTGGCCAAGTTCACTCTGAGATGGCCATGACGGTGTTACATTCAGTTTTAGCCTTTGCATTTGGTTATTTTGTCCTTTTGTGTTCAGGCCAGTGTTGCTTTAACACAAAACATGACTAATAATATGCCCTGGTTATGTTTATTTAGTTGCAGCATGTGGTGAAGAGACCAGTTTGGTCTGTTGCTGAATCAATCCTGCAGCTTTTTTTTAGTGGCCAGGACTGGGTTTTGTGAAGTTTAACTGCAGGTGTGTCATTAACAACCATCTGCCTTAATGCCTTAATTAGCAGAAGAGTCTGGTGTTATATATATATATATAGAGTCTGTTTTGCTGCTGTATACTGTAGAATTATTGTGCACGGGTTCAATAACATTTGGCATTTTTCCATAGGCAATAAGTAATAAGGACCAACACAGCATATCTTACACTTTGTCTCGGGCCCAGACAGTAGTAGTTGAATATACTCATGACAGCAACACAGATATGTTCCAGGTATGTGAAGTAAATGTGTAAGTGTGTTCTCATTTTTGGTAGTTTCAAACAAGGCATCCTCTCAGCAGGCTTTTTCTCTCAGACCCAAAAGTTTGTGTGTCAGTTTTTGCACTCACCATTCAGAGCAATTTATTCAGTTCATTCCCAAAGCCATCCTGTGAACAAGGCTGTGTGTTTGTACATCTTCTAGACTTGGGCCAAGGTGAAAGTTGGGGGGTTTTGTGACTAATGCACAAGATTATGGTTTTACTTTTGCTAGTCTGCAAGTCACATAATCTGTCTCCTAGTCCCTCCTTGCAAAATGAAGAATAAAGGGCAACTTTCTCTTCAAGCACTTAGAACTTTGCTTCTGGCATTTACAAAGGGATTTGGGATCAACCAGTTGGAGACAGGGTAGAAGAAATACAGTGTGGAAATACAGGAAAGCTTTTGGCGCAACTAATACAAAAAGTACTCTGAACTTTTTTAAGCAAACCCAGAAATGTCTAAAGCACTAGGAGATGTGAAGAGAGGAGCCTTCAGTGCTGATGCTGGCAGTTCAAAACAACTTTGCTGCAGTTCCTGTGTGTATGAGAAGGGACCACAAACACATCTGCAGCTGTGGTGTGCCCTCATATCTTTTAATTGTTTCCTGTTTTTCTCAAAAGGAAGGGGTTTGTTTTGGGGTTCTTTTTAATGTGTGCTTTGTTCTCTCTGATTCCCACACTGTGATCTTGCATAGCTTCCCCCCCCCCCTCGTTGTTGTCACTAGTTCATGGCAAGGAGTTTTGCTGTCACAGCATTTAGCTGTGACGCCACTCAGGATCTAAGGAGGTGGGAGGTGTTGGGAAGTGGTGGAGGAAGCTGCTTTGCAACTGCAAATACAACAGAGCAAAAGGACTGTAATGAAATCACTGCAGCATAAGCTATTGTTTGTGTGAGTGTTCTCTCTTCAGGCATGCTCTGGCATGTGTGCTGCCCTGAAATTGCCCCTGGCAGTCCCTGTGTACTCATGGGTTATCCTGCCTAAGAAGAAGTAGAAAAATAGATTCTGACAAAGCAGTTTTAGTCTCATGAAAGCTCTCCAGTCCTCACCAAAAAAGCACCTCAAGCTTTTGGGTCTCTTGCTCAGCAGTTAATCGGTCTTAATATAATCACCTATTTTCAAAGAACCTGAGAGTTCTGGAAATGAGTGAGTAGTAGTGTGTAAGGGGGCTTTAAACCCAGCTATATGGATATTTGGGAAAAGGTTATTACTTTTCCTCTTTGCAAGGAAAAGTACAAGATTAGTTGACTAGAAAAGCAGAGATACCTATGCAGTTTCATCAAACTCAGTACAGTTGTGTGGGACTGCAAGACTCGCAGTTCCCTGCAGCCAGAAAAGGAGGCACAGCTACCAGCAAAACCTGATGGTAGACAGATGTTACATTCTTGTGTTCTGAGTGTGTAAATGTAGCCCCTCTCTGCCACAACAGCCTGGTCCCTGGTCTTTCACAAAAGGTTTGCTGCTTCTCAGTGCCCACCTGAACTGAAGAGACAACTCACATAATCTGATTTTCATACATCTATACCTTGACTTAGTCTGGCACTGTTCAGAATGTTCTGGACATACAAAGTGACTGCTTGTCACTGTTCTCTGGCTGTTTTGGTGTTCCTGCAGCTGGTCTGCTTGACCTGAGTGTAACCTCTCTGATGAAAAGGCCTTCAATGGGGAATGATCTCAGAACTGACTTAATTACATCATTTTATTTCTCCTTCCTTCATTTGGCTGTACCCAGCTTTCAGAATAACTTTGATCATTTGGAGACAGAAAAATTAATCAATTCAGATGAGGCTTTAGAAACCTAAATTGATAGACTAGTGGACAGGAATGCTTTAAACTGTAATGTCATGATTTTTGTATCATTGCTTTTAATTGCTTTGAATTTGAATAGTCCTAGACCCAGAGACAAACTTCTGACCAGTTGTTTGGTTTTTTTTCCTCAATGCTTTTCCAGATTGGTCGGTCAACAGAGAGTCCTATAGACTTTGTAGTAACAGATACAGTTCCTGGGAGTCAGAGTAATTCGGATACACAGTCTGTGCAGAGCACAATATCAAGGTTTGCCTGCAGGATCATATGTGAACGTAACCCTCCCTTTACAGCAAGAATATATGCTGCAGGATTTGACTCCTCAAAAAACATTTTTCTTGGGGTAAGGGAATTCTTTTTCTTTTTTCCACTAAAAGTTCAGTGCAGGCTTATTTTTTAAACTAATTCATAACTCTAGCCAAATTAAAGGTTCTCATTGGTGCAATTTATTTTAGGAGAAGGCTGCAAAGTGGAAGACATCAGATGGACAAATGGATGGACTAACAACAAATGGAGTTCTTGTTATGCATCCTCGTAATGGATTCACAGAAGACTCCAAGCCAGGGGTGTGGAGAGAGATTTCTGTGTGTGGGAATGTGTTCAGCCTCCGTGAAACCAGATCAGCTCAACAGAGGGGAAAAATGGTGAGAGGAGTGACCAGTGTTTTATGTAACCTGTTTAAAATGGTGCCTCCGTAAAGGGTATAGTTTGGGCATAGAGCTGGAATCTGCTGGAATTCCACGTAGTTGTCACCTCTGCAATTAGTTACACTGCCTCTTATGTGTCTGTCTGTGTGCACAAATGTGTCTTGCTCAGCCTGAATAACTGACTGAGTTTATCTGCAAACTAATACTTAATTGCACATCTAGGCTGCTCTCCTAAACTGATACTTCTACAAGTATTTTCCCGATTCTCCCTTGTGAATTTTTGCTTTTCCCACTTTTCCTTTTTTTGTAGAATAATGAAGAATAGTTATAATTTTATTGGATATTCATTTCCGTGTTCACATTCTGAGTTTGCCCTCTTCCTCTTGTTTCCAAAGCACTGGTAACATTTCCAGGAGATACTTGGGTTCGATATGATTTGGGATGTCTCAGCAGAAAGAAATGCTACATTTTAAGCAGGATATTTAGCTGGAAGTGCTAATGGGATGAAGGGAAAGTTATGTGTAAAGAGGAGTTTTAAGAAAAGTCTAAAATATGATGGAGGACTAAAACAGTCTGGTGCTACTCCTTGAGGCATTTCAAGTAACATAGTGCTGTAGGGATGGAATAGGGAGTTGTTAAGATGGGAGGGGAGCTTTTCTTGACTCAACGTGGTCTATTTTATTGCACACTTTAATCTAAGATGTTGGGGTGGGGTTTTTCCAAAAAAAGGAGGGCAGAGAGACGCTGATACTGGGCTCTCTATGGGTGTCTTGTGGACAGTCAGAAGCTGCTTGAAACTTTGATGGATCTTCCAGGCAGATGAGTATTGTGGAAGTGCACATTGTTACTCTTCGGAGACCCTTAGGTGACAGCTCTCCATGTCTGTGTCCATGTCAAGGTTGAGAACGAGACGAACCAGCTGCAGGACGGCTCCCTGATCGACCTGTGCGGGGCGACGCTGCTGTGGCGCACGGCCGAGGGGCTCGCGCGCACGCCGACCGTCAAGCACCTGGAGGCTCTGAGGCAGGAGATCAACGCAGCGAGGCCCCAGTGCCCCGTGGGCTTCAACACCCTGGCCTTCCCCAGCATGAAGAGAAAAGATGTTGTAGACGAAAAGCAGCCGTGGGTGTACCTGAACTGCGGCCACGTGCACGGCTACCACAACTGGGGGAACAAAGAGGAGAGGGACGGCAAGGACCGCGAGTGCCCCATGTGCCGCTCCGTCGGCCCCTACGTGCCTCTGTGGCTCGGGTGTGAAGCGGGATTTTATGTGGATGCCGGACCTCCAACTCATGCATTCAGCCCGTGTGGACACGTGTGCTCAGAAAAGACAACTGCATATTGGTCCCAAATTCCTCTTCCTCACGGTACTCACACTTTTCACGCAGCCTGTCCCTTCTGTGCGCATCAGCTGGCTGGTGAGCAGGGTTACATCAGGCTCATTTTCCAAGGGCCTCTCGACTAACACAGGTGTTCCCAAGGACTGCAGTAAACTGATAAGCTAAGCGATTCTCATTTTTAAACCAACTGTTTTTTCGTATTCTCTGGGCTTTGCTGGTTTGCATTAAGATGAAGAATTTTTTGGTTTTTTTGTTACAACAGCTAAATCCCTCTTTATTGAGAAAAGTCTGAAAATAGAAGAAATGGGGGGAGAAGGGGGAGACCTCCTGCTTTTTTTGGTTAATAACTACTTCTGAAGAGGTGGAGGAAGTGTTGTAGAGTGAACTCCAATGCCTTCAGTTTAATGGTTTTTCAATCACATGCCCACAGTGTTTGAAAGGTGTTTCATTTTTTTTGTATATGGAGGGTAAATAGTTCAAAGAACATTAGTTTACAGCTTGGATGCAAACATTGTAAAATATAACATGTATATTAACTCTTTTCTATTTATCTTTATTATTGAAAATATTTAGAATGTTTAGAGAGTAGCATGGTCATAGTGTGTTACATCCAGCAATTGGATGTGTAGAGTAGTTCTGGATGGAGAAGATCGTGGGATGAAAATGGTAGAAAAATCTTTTAATCTAAAATACTGAGTTCTTAGAATAGTTAAAATGCTTTTTAAACAAAGCTAATGCAAATTATGGTGGCATAAAGTTGTGCATTAACCGTGTTGAAAGGTAGCTAAGAAGGATTTCTTAAATTGTCTTTTTGGTAGGACTGTACTTAAGATCTGGTTATGAGGAGAATATTTACCAGACTCTTCGAATATGCAACTTAGTCTAGATTAAGGATTTTTTTCTCCCTTCACGCTAACACTTCTCTTTATTTAGCATTAGTGACATTTGTGAGGGTTTTTCCAATGTTAAACATGAACAGACCAGAAAGATGAGGCTTGTTCTGTTAAACATGAACAGACCAGAAAGACGAGGCTTGTTCTGTTCTTTACTGTTTGGGGGTGGGGAGCAGGGACAGGGGGAGAGGTGGATGCACCCGGGCACGTGTGTGGGGAGCAGTTTGTCACTTGGCCACAGTCCCAGCCTGAGAGGGGTTTGTCAGCTGGATGCTCAGCCTTCCACCTGCTGACTGCTGGGGGGGCCTCAGGCCTGGCCTTTGCCCCTCTGCCAGGTGCAGGTGCTCATCTGGGCCACACGTGGAACAGAGGTGGAGCCCGGCAGCCAGGGGATGTGTCCCTGCATCCTCGGGCAGCTGGGAACAGCTGGCAGTCTGTTGGGAGAGCTGGGGCTGGGCTGGGCTCAGGCCCTCAGTGTGAGGTGCTGCTGTGGGCTCTGCTTACTCTGGTCTCTGTCTGCTCTCCTCTTCCTCCCCCTCCTTCCCCTCTGTATCCACCAGAAAACACCGGTGTACAACATGCAGCTCTGCTGCCAGCCCACTGTGCTTCATGGCAACCTGACCTTTTTAGCATTGATTTGAGCTTTTTTGGCCAGCTTCATATTTTTTTTAAATATGTACTGTATAATTGACAGTAAGAAAATTTCTGTACTTTATAGCAAAGCTTTAGCTTTCATTTTTCTTTTGAAGCTGTTCTAAAATTTTCTTTGTTTAAAGAGACCTGTGTTGCTTAGATGTCATGCATTACTTACTTTGACTGTCAATTATTTCTCCATTTTTAAAAAAGAAATTATATATATTGTTTGGTTCACTCAGGAAATGCATGTGTCAGGAAACCTGTACTATAAGTTCAGTTAGCTGTCATGTACAAGTAACTGCTGTTACTCCCTTTCCATAGAAATATAACTGATTTTGACATTTTCCAGATTATATGCATTAAGTAATGAAACTTATGCAGCAAGAAATCCCTGTATTGTAGTTGTTCTAATCATCTTATTCAAACTATAGTATACTGTAGTTTTAATTTTTATTTGCAAATTAATTTATTTAAACTACGTGAGTAAACACTTTTCAAAAACAGAAATTCTGGGATTGTGGCTTTGTTTCCAAGAGATGGGAAAGGACTGGGCATGGCCCTTCTGTTCTGGGACACCTCAGGTGTCCCTCTATTCTGCACATATGGATTAAGAGCAGAGAAGCAGCAGCTGTAAAGACTTTGGACGTTTTCCCTGGTAATGGCTTGGAATGGCTCCTTTCAGATGTGTCCTCTCAATGTGTTTTATATTTAACTCTGTGTTAAAGGTGAGATTGCTGTTTAAATGACACAGTTAAATGAGTAAGTTACAAACACTGAAATGTAAGCAAAAACTGAACTAAATTTTAGAATTACAAGAGTTCTTGATTCTGTCTTCCACAAAATGTAATTGACATTTCTCTGGTCCTGATCTTGTTGAACATGAAAACATGAAAAACCAGAAAAGAACATGATGAAAGCTACAAAGCAGTATGAGTAACACAGAGCTGAACTGTGAGCACAGATGGAGCACGGGATGGTAGGAGGAATATGGGAAGTGGTGTTGGAGGCCCAGCTGGAAGCTGATGCAGAGCCAGGGGTGCAGTTGGGTACATGCACACCTAACTGCAGAGGGGAAGAAGAGAGGGTCATGCCCAACATGCAGCCCTTGTTAAAGCTCTGCTCCATTTAAGATGATACATTATGCTTACACTGTACTTCTCTACCCCACTCCTCACCCCCACCAAAAAAGATACCCCAGACAAAGGTATCTGAGCGGAAGTGGCTGTGTCTCTGGGGAGTGTTAGGCTAAGGTCACTCTTCAGTCTGCCCCGCATTCTGCCTGTTTGTACTTTTCTTCACCCAAACTGGGTTTGTTTAATCCCATTTTTAGAAGGGTCGAACATGAGCATTCAGGCACTTGAGACAGGGAAATCCCACTGTCAGAGGCATCATAGCAATGGTTGAGTAGTTTGAGGAGCAAGTTCCATCACCAACAACAGCATCTCTAACTCTGGTACCCTGTTTGAGTTCCCCCAGACTTCTGTTCTTTCATAAATGATTGCAGTAGTCCTCTGTAAATGGCAAAGTGAATTTCACATTAAAAGTACTCAAATGGATTACTGAAGCACTCTGAACTTTAAGGCAAATCCTTTTGAACAAATTTTGGTGCTGCAAAAAAACTTGGCACCTTGCTGGCTTTAAGAAAATCACAGCTCCACTTGTGACAGCCTAAAGCAGCCCCTTGCAGCTGCAAAGACCAGCCCAGGTGAGATCTGTGGCCTTCACCTGCTTTTAAAGATCTGCTGGACTGACAAGAAGCATTGGTGATGCAAGCAGCAGATGGGACAGGACTGTTCCCTGGGATACCACTGCAGGTATAAGGAACTGATAAGGGAATTAATGGGAAAATGACATTAAGTGTAGGTACTTTTCTAGCCTTAAAGTTCAGTGAAGCTCTGCAGAAGTGCCTTTGGAAATGAGCAGCCAGTGTTCTGGTTTGTATGTGGCTGCCCTAAACTGGGCAGTGTAATGTGTAAAGCAGGTGATTTAATGAACTAATTTGCTTTTCAGCTGTAGGAGATTGCATGGATTTAACACCGCCAGAAAGCAGCAGCTGGCTAATAAAGCCCTTTTGTTGTTTTGTTTTGTTTTGTTTTTGTTTTTCCCCAAAGCAGAAGTGGGGCAGCACAGGGTGCTGGCAGGGGCATAGACAGGGAGGTTGCTGTGGCTGTCCTGGGGAGAACAGAGTGCTCTGGTTCCTTTGCTGACTTGCCCACTGGGTTGGAGCAGCCCCATGAGTGCCTGGTGTGGCCCTGAGCAGTGAGGGGCAGGCTGGGGATGAACCTTCCCATCCCAGCTGTGTTGGGCTTGTTACACCTGCAGGAATGAGTTTGATCTTCTGGAAGGTTTAATGTGAAGTCACCTCAGGAGACTCCTGTGTTGGAAGGTGCTCTGCAAATCCCATAATGATCCTGCCATGACGTGCTTGATCTCCTTCTGAAGTGACACTTTCCAGGCTCAATTCTAAAAATACATTTCCAGTTTTGCAATATAAATCTACCCTGATGCATGCTGTCTTTCTGCCTGGATTAGGCCAGGTTGCTGTTGAATTAGACCAGATTTTGTGGTTCTTGTCTTGGCTCATCCCTTTCTGTAAAAACACTGGTGGAGCTGGTCTATTTTTAATTGTAGCACTTGGCTTTAACATAAGGGCTGTGATCATCCTAGAAATGCAGTTTCTAAGGCTCTTTTGTGACTGTAGCAGATCGCTTGTACCCGCACTGTTGTGCATACTGTAAAGAAGATCTGGGAAGGCATCTCTGCAGGAGCTGTGATGGCTCCTGTGACTTGGACCAGGGCAAATGTGGCCACTGCAGGGGCAGCAGCAGTCCTGCCCCTTCCCAGGTGCTGCTTTCAGGGCAGCAGCAGGAGCTCAGGCTCCTGTTTCCTCGTGGAGAACAGCTCTACATCACTGTGCTGTTGGGAGGCAGTATCCTCCTCCTCCTGTGTTCCAGTGGGGAAACACCAATGGGTGCTACTGCAGCAGGAGCAGCCAGCTCCTTCAGCTCTGCTGGTTCTTGGTCTGGTTCCATCTCTGAAAGCAAAAGGGGGCAGATTTAAAGAGCAGAAGAAAGGGGCTTTTATTCCCTCAAGCCGCAGGTGCTTCTGTGGGAGCAGCCATGCCAAACCCAGCCTCTGGGAACTGCAGCAGGGTTGGTGGCCTCAGGCACGCATGAGGCTGGGATCAGTGCAGCCTTAGGGAATGGCATTAGCTGTTAACCCCAATGCCTGAATCTTTATGTTCCTGCCTTGGACCCCCCTGAGCTGCTGCTTCCCATCCTCCCTGTGCCTCCCAGCCCTGGCAATACAGCCCATTCCACAGTCACAGTGAGCAGGTGCCAGCAGAAGCTGGTCCTGTTTGCCTTGCCCAGCACCAAGCCCTTGTGGGATCAGGAATGCATTGCCTGGGGCTGCATTCCTCGAGGCTAAGCTCCAGGGAAGATGAGTAACCAGAGGCAAAGTGCCAGCTCTGGCAGTCAGGAGCTCCCTGCCCACTCCCTGCCACTCTTGGGTATGCTGCTATTGTGTCCAGCTCCCAGTCCTCATCCTACTGCCCCTCTTGCAGGGCTGGCAGGAGGGGATAGGAAACAGCATCAACATCACTGTTTGCTGGCTGTGGTGTTGGCCTGGCTCTGCTGGTGAGGATATGTTTGTGACAGCAGCGAAGCACCAGCAAATCCTGGGTTCTGCCAGCCCTGCAGAGAGCCCATTGCTCCAGTGCAGGGGGCCGAGATATTTCATGGGAGTACGAATGACCTCAAGATCAACTCAAAGAAGGACTTTCCTGCTGCAAAGGCAACTTCTCTGCAATTTGGCAACACATGCAATATTGTAATGTTTTTATTTTGATTTAGGGTCACTAAACAGCTCTGAGGCAGGAGTAAATTATTAATCTGCTCTGACTTCCTTCCTCTACCTTGTCTACATCTGTAGTACCAGTTCTGTGCTGAGATCGCCATTGGAGATCTGCTGCCTTCCAGAAAAACAATGAGAGTGGAGTTCTTTGGAGTTTGAACACATGCCAGGATGGTCTATTTTTCGTTTTTGTAGTAGAAAGGTCTCCTGAAAAGGCTTCCCCTCTTCCAGCCCTGGCATGGCACATGGACTCTTGAGGATTCACAGAGCATAAGCGGCACAGAGAGAGAAAGGAGGACATGATAGTTCATGTTGTCAGTCAGATTTAAGTGTGGTTAAATACAATTAAACCAGTGGGAAAAGCTTCTTTATGTCTGTTTTCTTTGCTACTCACTCCCAAGATTACCTGTCTGCTTATTTATACAATTGTCTTGACCCTTATATTTGTTTCTGCTTCAACATCCCCCAAAGAAAAAAAATTAAATTAACTTTTCTCTGCAAATATTTTATCTGAAAGTTTCTATGTCATGTTTGCTGTGATCATGCCTTTCCTTAAGTGATTCTATTAAAATATGTGAATTTTAATGCACTGAACCATGTTGGCTGGACCCAGGCCCCGCAAAATGTATTTTGAGGCTTTTTTTTGGTCACCTAGTTTTCAGCCTAGATAGGGTTTCCCTTCAGTCTGTCCTGGAAAATGCTGGAAAACAAGCTGGTCAATGATGAGGGAAGAGCAATGGCTTTCCTAGGCTCTTGGGAAACAGCTCACGAAAATTGAGTCTTGTGTAAAGGCTGTCTCTAGGCTAAAGGGATCCACTTCTTTCCCTGGATCATGTTCTGATTCCAAGTGCCTCCCACTTCCCAGCTCTCTGTAAAATAACTTTTTAATATCATCTTACAATTGGGATCTACCCATAATTCCCTTTGGTTGGCTGCAGTTTAGGAGCTGGATGAACATGAAGCCTTCAGTGCTTCCATATCTACATCTCTCCAAAATAATATTTTTAGCTGATCCCAGAAGATTTGAAACAAAACAAATGCATGCAGCGATATTCTAAACTTGCCTGGATGCAAAGCTAAAAACTGCAGCTTGCTGTCATGTGCTTGATGAAAGGAATTGAGTCAACTCATCCTTTCCAAAAATCCCATGCTTGCTTTTTTTTTTTTCTTCTTTTTTTTTTTTCTTTTTCTCTGTTGTGTGGGAGGAAGAGAGAATTAGTTATTCAGTGAAATGAGGACAATTAAAAGCAAATGCAGCTTCCAGCGATGCCATCATCTGTTCAGTTTGCCCTGAGCAACACAGAGGCAGCCTGGCTTCTTAATTGGCCCCTTTCCCTTCCGTCCTGTACTTCCCATTGGCACAGGAGCTGGTGGCAGTTTCCAAAGTCTCCATAGGTCTGTGATGCAGGTATGCCCATTGTAGCTTTGCCTGGACAATCCCCTGAGCTGTGACCTCAGAGGGGCTGGAAGGCTCTAAACTGCCATGGATTGAGGGGTCATGATTGAGGCAGCTCTCCTACCCAGCTTGCCTTTCCCTGGAGTGTTGCGCTGTAGTGGGGACATGTCCATGGATCCCAGCCCAGGATGAAGCTGTGGTGTCACCGTTGACCAGTGCCTGAGATGGGTCACAGGGATATGGGCCTTCCCACAGCCTGTGGTCACAGTGGCCACCAGGACACAGCTGGGCCCAGGCCCTGCACAGCAAAGCTGTTGGAGCTTGCTTCCCTTTTGAAAGGGAGCTAAAGCAATCAGCAGGCCTTTAAACACCATCTAACCACCCAGGGCATGGATGTTTAATGCTTTTTCACTTATTCACATCAAAAATGGATCCAGAGAAGCTTTCCTGAGGAGGCAGGATCAGCAGTGCCAATGACCTCAGCTCCACCATCGCTGCAGGGGCTTTCAGTGTTACTCAGCGATTTTTGCCAGCGTCACTCGTTATCACTTGGAAATCTCACTC